GAAAAATCTTCTTCCCAGATGTCTAAAACATTTTATTGGAATCTCAAAAATTTAGGTTCAAATCGTATTTATTATTGGCAAAAAGATGATAAATGATTTAAATGACATTTTAGATGAAATATGAAGATTATATTTTGTCTGTATTTTGATAAGAGCAGGGCATCAGGAATTAGCATTTAAAAGTCATTCATCTCTTCAGTTTTGAAGAAATAATTGTAACTCCGAATAATGAAAGTGCACTGTTCCAATAGCTTTTTGGACATAAACACCACACAGTTTACCTTTCACTCCTTTTTTGAGGAAACTTGTTAACTTCTTTGCCCAGCACTGAAAGGAATGGTATGCATGCGAGCAGCCATCACCGTTACCTCTGCAGTCATGTGTGGTTGCCACATGAGGTGGACGGGTGCTGCTGAAAGGATATGCAGCTGCCACTTTAACAAGTTTAGCAGCCTGGGGTGTGTGGCACTGGGTACAGGCTGGCAACTAAGCAGCAGAGTGCATCTGACTGCAAAGCCATGCATCTTCTAAGGCCAGGCTCAGGCTTAGGTTGCTTTATCCCAAGTGGCCACATTACAGGTTCTCTGATGTCTGTTGTGGCGTATTATTGTCAGTGTTTCTTCATAAGGTCCTGATATATCAATCACAGTTAATTTACAGAGAGCTGCCCAGAAGATAAGTTAAACTGAACATTTTACCTGCAGATACATACTTTTTATTTTGTTTTTCTCATCAATGTGCAGTTTTTAGCTTAACAAATATTCTACTGTTCTTATTCCACTCTTTAACCCAAAAGAGTTTTTTTTTTTTTTCAATTTAACTCAAAGAGTCCTGATCTATTTATATTTAGTATATTTGATTGGAGAAATTCATGATGAACTAAGTTGAGGGCGTAAGTGCAGTTGTTAAGTTCTAGCTAATTGTGTGAGTGGGCAGGAAAAAGCCAGTTCAGGTGGCGGTAGAAACAGGTTTGGGGTGTCTAGGAAGAACAAGCAGAGAATCTGGTAACTTGGACCATCCTAAACACTTGGAAAATGTGAAGATGACATTCACAAATATTTACATTTTCAAATTTATTGAATGAAAACTTTCTTTTAGGTATTTCTCTCTTTTATACATACATATATACCCACCCAGGATTATTTTTCTGAAGGCAAGATTTGGAACAGCATACAATGGAAAACATCTTTGATATAAAAGCAGTGGCATGATCAGAACATAAATTTATTCCAGAGCCCTGGGCCCGGAGAATAAAGTTGAAGGCAGAGCCATTTGGCCCAAAAAACTTAAGCATCCCTTTCTCCTGTGCAACTGATTTAGATGGAGCGTGCAGGGTGGGCCTTTGTGAGCACATGAAGTATGTTTGGTACAGGCAAGGCTCTGTTTCCTGTTTTGACACGGAGAACACTGAAAAGAACAGAGAGCATACTTATTCACAGAGGCTTTAAGTTTTCAAATAATTTTACCTATCATATTATAATAACTGATTACCACCTGTTTGGGGAGTACTGTACTTTACTACATTCATTATCTCATTTAAGCCCATACTTGCATTAAAAGGTAAGTAAAATCTTAGAAAATGTATTGGCTTGCCCTACGACCCACAATAGTAAGTACTTGAATCTACACTGAAGTATGCTAGATTCCAGAACATGCTCTTAATTCCTGGCCTGTAAATTCCCAAGTTTCTGCTCTTAATTTCATTTCAGTGTAGTAGACAAGATAGTGGCCCTGGCTTGCTGTGGGAAGGAAGGGTAAATGAGATGCATCTGTGTGCGGATAGAGTGGACTCTGTATTTGTAATAACTGCCTAGGGGTGAAAGAAAATGTTTCTGACCAGAGGAGGTGCAGCAAGGTCCAACAAAAGAGTTCATGCCCTATTAGAATTCAGATGCAGAGAAGTTCCCCCGAGGGTTCCCAGATCAAAGCGCATTCCAAAGGCATTACAAAGGAAGCTTAGTTTTAATGGTGTAACTGGGAACCTACTGCTCCTCCCCTAGTTCTCAGCGATACCCTGGATGGTAAGATCATTAGTGGGTACCATTTCCCAAGAGCAGATAGTCAAGCTGTATGGAACACAGACAACAGTTGCTTAGCATTTGTGAGCAAGTTTAATGTGTGTAGGGGGGGTTCTGTGACAAATTCAAAATTTACAAGGTTTACAGTTCAAGGCAGAATGAAAACCCACCTATGTGATTTTTCTTTTAATAGCTCTTTGTTTGGTTGGTTGTTGTTGTTGTTTGGGGGGCCTCTTTGCATAGCCCTCCCGGGCTTTTCTAGAACTCCCTCTGGCCTCGAACATACAGAGATCTGTCTCTGCCTCTTGAGCTCTGGGGTTTAAGGCACATGCCACCAACCATAGCGTAAGTTTTCTCAACACATTCCATTCTTGTCTCCAACAACTGTCAAACCTGCAAGTGTATTTTTGCTTATTGTTTGTGTATGTGTGTATACACATGTACATATATGTGAATTTAACTGTAATCTGATTTCTTGCTTATATAGTTTATACTAGAAGAATGTGAAATTGCTTTTGATTATTGCTTTATGATGAATGCTATTAATTAAATTTTACTTTACAAATTACCATCTTTAGCAATTGCATTGGTTTAAATTTTTTCAATTAATTTATTTATTTTGTATGTGGGTATAGGTGTGGGTACATGTATGCCACAGCACATGTGTGGAAGTCAGAGAACAAGTTGTGGGAGTTAGCTCTTTCCTTCCAACATGCAAATCTCGGGGATCAAGCCTTAGAATTTGCTATGTACAGCAGGCTGGCTCTGCATAGTGATCTGCCTTCCTCTTCCTCCCCAGTTGTTGGAATTAAAAGCATGTACTAGCATGCCTAATAAGCATGCACTACTTTTTGAGGGTAGTTTTAGTTTTGCTTGTTAAGTAGGTGGTTATGGTATGGTATGGTATGGTATGGGTAGGTACCTAAGGCAAGGCACGGAACACAGAACATTCTGGCATTTTTCCCACTTTCCATTCTTTCTCCTGTGTAGACACCAGATTCCTTTGGGAAATCATCATTTGGAAAAGGTCAGTAGCAGAAAGGGGGCCATTCTTTAGTATAAAAATGTGAATTGGAAACTAAATATCTATAATCATGTCAGAGTTACTTGTATTTGAAAGGAAACATTTATATACAAGAGCCGTTTTGGCAATGTAAAATACTAACACAGGCTGTAAGTGGGGTAGGGACAGACTGGGGAGTGTCAGAGCAGTGGCTGTGCAGAGTGAAATCATTTGCTAATTAGATTGCAGAGCATTTTTAGAATATTTTCTTTTCTTTGTTGAGTGAAGTTTTCTATTCCCATAGGCAGAAACAAACATTTTACTACGTTTGCCAATTACAGATTAAACATTTAATAGTTTTAAAGAAAATATAAAGGAGAAAATGGGTGAATTATCAGAACCTAATTAAAGCCCAGAAGGAATTCACTGGCTGCCTGCTGAAGCCTTGGCTGTCTTCCCCCTCTGTGCCACCTAATAGAACTTCTCCAGTCTCTGTCATGCACTGATGAGCTGACTCTGTTTTCACTCAACTTCTGCTCTTTCTCTCCTCCTTTGTCATCATGTGTCCCAGTACACCCATGATGAAATTACAAGTCATTCTGTTTATACAGAAATGTCAGTGTGTGTGTGTGTGTCTGTGTTTGTGTTGGTATGTGTGTCGGTATGTGTCTGTGTGCATGCATACGTATGCATTGTGTGTATGTGTGCTATGCTGTGTGTGGAAGTTAGAGAACAGCTTGGTGGAGTTGATTTTCTGTACATGAGTTCCAGGTATCAAATTCAGGTTGCCAGGCATGGGTGGAAGTCCCTTAAATGAGCCAACTCTCCGGCCCCAGAAATTTCATCTATTTTTATTCTCATATTAAGGTATACTTTGGTGGTACTTCTGAAATATTATAAATATTTCTTCCTCTGACTCTGCCCCTCTGCATCCTATATCTCCATGGTCCCAACAGATTGTCTCCAAATTCTCCTTATAACACTGCTTGCTTTTGAGGAAAGGTAAAAGGCCATTTTTTACCTACAATAAAACCTACTGTCTTCTGATCTTTTGCCTTGGCATCTAAGATAACTGCAGAATGAGTTGCTTTTGTAAGTGCATGAAGTCTAGAGAAGTCTAGCAAAGAACTTACTAAGCTGAAACTTTGCCATATTGGATCTTGCCTTCCAATCTGTTATGTCTTCGGAAGCTTTCAGCTTCACAGTCTCACTCACCAAAGTGGTTGCAACCTCGCAAGAGCTAAGTGTTTCCAACTTTGAGTCCCTTAGATACCCTGCCTTTCAAGCACTCTGTAGAGCATCACAAGATATCCTTTGCCCATGGCTGTCCCTTACTTAATTTCCACACTCTGGATGTGAGTCAGGTAAGGATTTGGAGTTTTGGAGTTCTTATTGCCTAACATTTGTGATGCTCCTCAGTATGGCCTGTTCCATCAGTTCTTTAACCTTAATGTACTTTTGCTTTATATGTTCTTGGCTAGGGCAGCTTTTTGTTTCTTCTTGGCCAACTAGAACCATAATTTCCTGACTTTCAGCCTTTCTCTTCTCACTTCTTGTAACCATAGCATCAAGATCACTTATTTATCATTTTCCCTATAGTGCCTTGGTTTTGCTCCTCATTTCAAATGTGCATCTCATATTTCCAACTGGCATATAGGCTGCTCAGAGATAGTCTCACTGTTCATGGCACTTAACGCAGTACTTTCTGCTTTTCATAATAGGTATCCGGTTAGTATTTGTTTATCATTAAGGAGCAAGTCATTTTTGCTGTCATTTGTTATTACCTTTTGTTCCCTGTAACAGTGTTATTTTTAGCAAAAGCAATGTGAACTATGAAACTAATATTGATAGGAAGAAAAACATCATTTGAACAAGGAAAAAATAGGAAGTCATTTGAAATGAAGTACTGATCCTGTAAACAAACATATACAAAGATACAGATGTAGAAACAAGCATTGAATGATATTATTTCTCCCCAGGTGTGGCCACTCACCTGTCTACCGCTCCCGTGAAATGGCAGCTCGTGCGTTGGTCCCCTTCATTATGATAGACCAAATACCAAGCACCCTCTGTGATTTGCTGGACTCTCTTCCCAACAGCACTGACCAGTCTTTCCGACAAAACCATATTCATGGGACACTTCTACAAGTAAGTGCAGTGACTCTGTGTGACTTCCATAGAATGCCACAAGATACACTTTTGTATTCTTAGCAGGCGATGACTTGATATACAGGCTTTTAAGTTTATCTGTATAATTTACTCATTTCTACCTTCTTAAAAACCAGATATCTCCCAGATATGATTTCATGCACCTCAGGTATGAACCAGTGTACACTGATTTGGCAGCTCATTAAATTCTTCAACATGCTTTTCTATCAAATATTCCAATAGAACATTCTGGCCCACTTCTTGTTCAAGGTTGTGATGGTTTGAATGAGAAATGCCCCCCAGAGTTCTCGGTATTCGAATGCCTGGTCCTTAGTTGGTGTCATTGTTTAAGAAGGTGAAGACCTTGTAGCCTTGTTGGAGGAAGTGTGCCACAGGTGGCAGGCTTTGAGAGTTTAAAGACTCACACCATTGTTCTCTCTGCTTCCTGCTTGTGGTTCAAAATGTTAATCCTCAGCTTCCTGTTCCTGCCACCATGCCTTTACTCTGCCAACAAGGACTCTTAACTCTCTGGAACCACTAGCCCAAATAAACTCTTCTCTAAATTGTCTTTGTCATATTTTATCAAGCCATCCTGCTGGCTTATGTTTTAAATAAATATAGAATTTTACTGTTCTTTTTAGTTAAGTGCAACAAATGAATGAGAATTCATTGAAACTCTCCTTTTAAAACTGTAACTGGAATGGGTAGTATTGGTAAAATCTTGTATTCACATGGCTGTTGTGTACATTTACCTGGGCATGGATGGGGAGGGATTTAAACTTCAGATCATGTTACTAGCTTACAAGCACAATGAGAGTTGGCCTTGAGATCCCAGGACATATTGTATTCCTGAAGTCTACACTACTGACATGGGAGGCAGTGTGTGAAATGGTTCACAGAATGGGAGTCTAGAGATGAACTGCTCTGCCCTATGATGAAAACTAATTCTGTAGGTGAAATGTAAGGTGCAGCTGTGTTCTTGTCTTTGTTCTTTGGTTGTTTGTATATTCAGCAAAGACTTACTGAATGCCTGCTATATACTGTTGTGTCATAGTCAGAACAGCAAATAAGTCATTCCTGGCCTGGAGCAGAAAACAGGCAATCCCAATGTAACATGTTAAGTGCTGGATGACACATGTCAGGGCCATGTGATTTGAGTTGAAGCAATCAGGGCAAGCATCACAGAGCAGGTGGCAGTTTAGCAGAGGTTGAAAACATTCATCAGGCATGGTAAAGGAGTGTCTTGTGCAGAGAGAACGTCATAGAGTGAGGTAGAGAAGAAGGCAGCACACACCTGGAAACTGTAACTTGGGTTAGACTGAAACCACCTGAGTGGTTCTCAGGACTTTACACATTTGAAATTAAAGAGGTCCCAAGCCAGTTTTACCTTTCAGTATTTAATTCGACAATAAAAATGAGGTAATATCAAGTCATAGGAACCCAAAGCACATATTTTTATCACCAGGGAAGACATGTTCACATGCCTTGTAGACCTTGACAAACTCACCTGCACATAATAAAGGAAAAGTAGAGGAAACCATCATCTTAGTGTCATTTTGAAAGAAGTTTGATCTGGTGGCTCTCTTAAAGAGATTACACAACACACATGCACAGACACACACACACACACACACACACACACACACACACACACACACACCATGCCAGCGTCTTGGAGTTCATAGTGTATTTCAGATCATTTGCTCTGTGTTGTGTGTATTAGGTTTTCGTGGTTTCTTTTGTTGGGAGTCGAGAAATATTTGAGGGCAGGGATGCATGCCACAACACCCAGGTGGCCGACAAGGACAGCCTGGGTGTCAGTCCTCACCACCTTCCTTGTTTGAGAGGCCCTGTGTTGTCTTTCTGGTGTGTGCACCAGGGTTCTGGCCTGTAAGCGTACAGGGTTCTTTTTTCTTCACTTCAGATCGTAGCTCTGGATTTACTTTGGACTAGGTATGCAACCCAGGTCCTCACGTTGTGTGGTGAGCACATGTACCCCAAGAACCAGCTCTCCAATCTCATGTGGTTTCTTTTCTAAAGGCTTAAGCATTTACACCTTTTGGGTCCTCACTTCATTCCTGTGCTGAAGAGAGGCTAGGTTTAGCTTAGCCTTGGGGAAGGCCATAAAGGCCCAAAGATCAGCACTGGCTTAGTCAAATAAATTAGAGCTCTCTCTTTCCTTTCTTTTTCTTTCTTTTTTTTTTTTTCTTTTGTAACAAAAACAATCTCACAGCATTTATTGTCACCTGATAATAACATAAGTACCACTAAAACAATATGAATAAATGTTTCAGGCTGTTGCTCTCAGTAGAATACACCATTTTGGAGCAGAGGAATGTTATCTTCTTTTAGTATGATTCAACCCAGGTGTCTTCTTGACTTTGGTTTAGAATGAATCTCTTCAGCACCACCGAAACCAGTAGCTGCTCATACAGCCACACCTGAGTCTGAGACCTATTTTGCAAGTTCCTAAAGAGAAGGTTGCTGGGTGGTACCACCACCTTGTGCACCTTCCGGCCCTGGCCAAGATGCTACAGTGGAAGTCCCAGAAACCACACTCATAGGAGGGTTGCCTCAGAAAGCCAAAGTTAGATCTCTTGGCCACATTTCTGCTGCTGTTGCAAAGGAAACAGACTAGTGACAAGGAAAATAGGAAAGCAGAATCTTGAAAATACCCACTGTCCTGAGTTCAAAGGTCGCAGGGCTGAGGCTGGTGGAGCTCTTTTAGAAGCAGTGCTGGTGGAGCCACTTCTCTCTTTCTCTCCCACTCATGCTGGTGAGTCAGCTAGACACCTCCTCCCTCCATCGCAGCCCTGGCTGCACCTATCTGCCAGCAGACACCATCTTCCACTCTGTGTGGACTACCTTTCTGACTTTGTTGACTGTCGTGTGAAACTCTGGAAAGGCAAAAGGCCTCCAATTCTGTGCTTGTATCGCTGTGGCTCTTGTTCCTAATGAATGGAAAGCTTATTGGGGGTGGGAGGGAGTCATAGTGTGGATGCTGGGTATTCACTGTCTAATAGATTGCCATGTTTATAAAGGTTGCTTCACCCTACTTGAAAAGAAGTCAAAGTATATGTAGTCCTCTGGTCTGTCTGGACTATTGACTGTGGCCCTTTGGGGAGAACATCTAAAGGGTTAAGTGAGAGAGGAATCTTCAGCTTGTAGCTTCTTCTACACAAAAAGCTACCTTTGAAACCTGCAAATACTTGCACTTGGAAAAGAGATGTTAGGGACATGAGGAGTGATACTCTCCATGGGACCTTCAGAGCCAGCTAAGTAAATACAAAACTCTTAGTTTTTCAAGAGCAGGAAATCATTTTGTAATCAGAAAACAAATTCTTTTACGGAACATTTTCTTCAATTATACATTTGACTTCTTTGAAGATATTTACATAAATATGTCAAAGTCTAGAGTATTCTTCAGTATACCTTAAAGACAGAAATGTGCTGATCCCTGACTTTTTGGCTTGGGAAAGACTCAAATTATGGGGTGTGCAGAACAAGAACATATGGGTTTATTTCCTAATCACGTCAAAACCAGAGGTTCAGAATGGCAGTGCTGAAGTGGATGGACATGGCACACATTAGGAGAGGTGAGGTTGTACAGCAGGTGCTAAAGAGCCCAAAATAAATGTTAAATCTCAATAAAGGTCTGCAAGAGCTGTGGACATTACCTTGTGTGGGAGCAGCCCTGGTGGGGTCACCCATCTGTTAAGCTGTCTGCTTTTAAACCATTTAAACTTTTAAACTTACCATTTAAACTTACCATTGCTACTGGGTTACTTATCACTCCCAAAATGTTGCAGTGGCATTTAGAAAGTTCTCTTGTTGCAAGCTAGTTTGGCCAAGAACCCAAGGGAAAGCTTTGTTCTCGTGTATTTAACCAGCATCTTGATCTTCTAAAGAGAAGTCTACAACATCTGAGGAGAGAGTTTGAGTTTTGGATTTGCTCATCCACCATGTTTTGGTCATGTTTCTGGTAGTATAACATAAAAGATGAAAGAAGGCTCTTTTGTAAAGTATGTGGCTTAGATAATGTAGCTGGTTGGAAAGTGAGAAACCATTTGTGTATTTATCTGAACATTTGAGACAAGTTCTTTCTTCAGTCTAAAGTGCCCCCATCCCTTGATGTGAGAGCACAAACTGCATTTCCCTATGAATGGACATCAGTTTTTTCTCTCTGTTTTACCAACAGAACATGTCAAGCACTTCAGTTCTTTTATTTTTCTCCCCAGTTTGGAGACTTGATTTCTCTACTTTGAGAATTCTGAGCTTTAAAAAAGAAAAAAAGAAAAAAAAAAAAGTAGGTTGTTTTTCCCGCTTGTGGAGCTCAGTGACAGTGTTCCCTACTTGTGTGGTGCGGTGCGTTAACAGAGAGGCTTTGGGTGGCTGGGTGGCGGAGGTGCTCAGCGTAGTTTACCATGGAAATGGCAGTAACAGTTGGAGTCTTTGTGATTTCACCCATGCTCTTAGCAAACCTGCAAAGTAGCAAGACAGGTGTCGCTTCTTTCATTCCCTCTCACTTCGCTCTCTCCTGTTCAGTTGAAGGGTTGAAGGCGCCACAGAGGTAGTCATGAGAGATGCACTTCACTCCAAGCCCACCCTCTTCCTCTCTTTATATTGTGCTTCCTCCCTGGTAGTTGATGAGAGTAACAGCTTTTCATGACTAGGGAAACTATACCAAGGGGCCATTTCTTCTCTGGTTTTATCTGTTACCAGTTAGTTGGTCTCCTTAAATTGAGCTGTTACGATTCATCAACACTGGAAACAAAATGAGAGCACCAACATCTTAGAGATTGTCAGAGGAAATACTAACTCCAGAAAGCACACGAAGGACAAGACATACTGTGCCTTCCTCCCTCCACTCATTCTTTCCCGTTGCGCTTTGGGTTTCTCCTTGAGACTTATAGCTGGAGCAACAGTGTTTTCCAAGGCTCCAGCTAAGTCACAGTACTCACACCCTGCCATCCCTAAATCTTGGTAGATCTGGGAGATGG